AATGGTAAATTTTTTAAAAATGTCTGTTTTGATCTTGAAGGCCGTGTGTTGTGTCCTGTGGCCTTGTACCACTGACATGAGCGAGCTGGCTAGCTTGCCACGTGCCCTCTGCCCTTGGCACCGTAGAAATCGGAGCACAAAGTCACTTCTGTGTCAGGGCCGTGGGGCTGCTTCGATTTCATTTCTGGAGGGGCAGAAAACACAGCCCTTGGAGGGGGATGAAAATGCACTCAAGCTTTCTAAGTGAGCTGCTGGTTTATTTTGTGTGAGTGTGGAGACACTCTGCCCACCTGGTCCCTATTCTCCAAGTATTTTTTCTGTGAGTTAAATTTTAGAGGTGAAGCAAAGATAAGTTCTAAGAGTTATTTTCGAGCTCCCCAAATGAAAACTGAGTATTAGAGAGAACAGAAATCCTCGTAACTTTCAAATGGAATTTTCTGCCACAACATCACAAAAAGATCGTGAAGTCATCCTGTTGGTAAACTGGATAAGACTCAATGTGTTTTTTCTTAAATTTATTATCTAGAACATTTACCTTGAGAGTTTTATTAAGTCAAGAACATGAAGAGGCTTTTTAAAACATCAGTTCATTGACTCTACTGTTGGATTTAGTTATAAAAGCTTACAGTATGTTATAATGAACATTGAAGTTGGTTTACATCCCTTGAGGTTTTAGGTACAGTATGTTCAAAAATTCAAATATGCCAAAGTCCATTGAAAGTGATCATTTTGAAAGTTAAAAACAGCTGCCGTCTTCCCTGGTGGTCTGCAAAATTTGGCAGCTGCAGCCTTCAGCTTATAAATCCCCTAACCCGGCCTTGACAATGGAGTAAGCTTCAGAAATGAACAAGAACAAATTAATGGGCATTCACATCATCCAAAGAAAACTGATAATCTTCACATAGTTGATCATCTTAAAAGGGAGTCTGTTATTATAGATTGAAGTCAAAGTTTTGGAAGCAGTGTATCTCTCACACGGATGAGTTTTGCTTTTGTTTTTCTTGTGGTTTTTCACACACACACAAATATCCACATTGCTAGAGCAACTCCAACACTCATGATGAGCATATTTTTCCCCAAGTAAGTCCATTTGCTTTGAAAGCATTTTGACACAGCTCCAAGATATCACCAATTTGAGGAGACGACATTCTTTCTTCCATCGTATCTTTAGCCACAAACAAGCAGAAACAAGTAATCAAGTACAGACCCTTTCTCCAGTAGATTCGTCACACTGACTGCAAAAAAAAGTGTTATATCTTCCACTAAAATAATTAACTTCGTATTTGGTAATAGAAAGAACAAAGATATATTTTGGTATTTTCTTCAATCTTTTGGCAGGCTCTCACAGCAGGGGTCAAGAGGCTTTTTTTCCATGCGATGATGTGGTTCATTATTTGCAGTAAAAAGTATTACATTGTAGGAAACTTCCAGAGCCTTTATAGAAACCTACGCATATATTTCCTCAGTATCTAAGCTTATGAATTACCTGGAATTTTGCTCTTCAGGATGGAAAAGCCTCTTAGATTTTAAAAAAAGATGGAGGTGATTTTTCA